CTGCACCCTCCAAAAATGAATAGTGGATGAGTTAGTGTTTGTGCCAAAGATGATATTTTCAGATTCTGGATTTGTCTAAGCTGGTTATGAAGGGCTATGAGGGAAGGGCTAAGTCAGTCTAATTTAATGCAGGCTCTGCTGGATTTTGAGAATGTACAAAAATTACAGATGCAAAGAAAGAACTTTTATGAGAGAATATCTGAAGAACTGGAGAAATCTATGTCAGTGTAGTTGGCAGAGATCATGGTAGGAGACCCAGAAAACACAGCCCTTCCCTAACCTGAAGGAAGAATAAATATTTAGGTTGTTTTCAAAAGGAATTGGGCTCTGGCTTTGCCTTCACGAGGAACATTTGTGGGCTGCTGTTTCTAACATTAGATAAGCCCTTTCAGGGAGGCTCTATTTTGTGTGGAAACCACCTTCCTGGCAGTATTTTAGAACTGCCTACTCTGTGTACCCACCATGGTCTTTTTCACAGTCTGCTCCAAAGCCTGAGCATGTGTTTCTAATCTCCTAGCTGTATTTATTGTGCTTCTAGTTATATCTACCCCTAGATGCTCTCTCCCCTGGAAGGAGAGGGAAGGACGGAGAACCTCACGCACTTGGTCACACACACTCCATCTTCACCTGCTGCCTCCTGGGGTGCTCGGTGATCGGGGTCTCCGTAACAAAATCCAGACCGTGGTGCTGCTTTCACCGATCTCTTTTGCCCTGGCTGCTTTGGGGGTGATGCTGGGCTAAGCAGCAGATGCCACTGGAGGGCAAGAGCGGGAGCCTGGTGAGGACATGTGGCCCGTGACATGTCTGTTATGTGACCATTGCTGCTTTCCAAGGGAGAATCGCCTTTCCAAGTGGCCAGGAGGGACAATCCAGAAAGAGTGAGACAGCTGACAGTATTTCAGCTTATTCTCATCATTCAGCCTGTGAGCACTTGTGGTACATGCTGAATATGCTTAATGCTATCTGGTACAGGCACAGGCTGCTTCCCAGAGGGTTCCTCAGCACTGATCCCTATAGTTGTTAAGTCCTACAAACAAAGTGCATTTATTTTTTACAACAACCCTGACAGCAAGTCATGCTTTATGAATCAGAACGACATTGAAGCTACATCTGGCAAAAATGTTATTTTTTGTTTTGCTTGCTCTATGTCACACATAACAGAGCGGCATGCTGAAACTTAGTCCTCAAATACAAGATTTTCATTTATCTGAGTGAAAGCCACATCCTGGTTTAACCAAAGGCTAACTCTAAAAGCGAATCTTCTGTAGAAACCTGCCCTTGTTTTGCTTCTCTGGCATTTCTGTATGTTTTTTTATGTTAAAATGCTGATGAGCCATTGGGCAAGATTCCTTACAATGATTTAAAGCACCACTATGTGGTTTTCCTGCCCTGTATTATAGCTGAGGTGAGGGAAGCAGGTAATTTCTACTTTTCTTCTCCACTTTATCCTCCTGCCCTGCTGTGGGATGGATAACATTTTCTCCGAAGTGAAATCCTGGGCTGCCTTCCCCAGTGCTCAGAGGAAGCTGTGCAGCCAGCGGGCTCGTGCCGCGCGCTGGGCGAGGGCAGCGGGCAGGCGCTTCTCCTGGCCGTGGGATCCAGCAGCGGGAGCGGAGCCCTTTGCCCTGCCGGTGCAGCGTCCCCGGGGCTCTCCTGGCACCGCGCTGCTCTTAGCTACGGCTGCCTGTCCCCTGAGCCAAGTGGCAGAGGGTCACTTGGAGTAACTGGCAGCGCGTGCTCTGCCCTTCACTAGGGCACGGAGTGGCCCGTGTTGCGCTTTCCCGATGGGCTGTTTTCCTCGATTGTAAATCCCCAGCAAAGCTCAAAAGTTTGGGTAGGAAAGTGGTCTTGAAGTAACAGTTTGTTAGTAC